GTGTGTGCTTGCAAATGGTGTCTTGGGTTTCTTTTATAAGCAAAAGTTAGGAGTGAGCCATGCAGATAATGACCTGACAATCTGACCCTGGCATGCAGACTAAAAGTAATCTGTCTCAAGACAGTGCCCACATGAATGTTCTGTGGAACCTACAGCTAAGTTTGACCAATTGCCTTTTCCCGAACTGGTCACCAGTCTAATGGACTTCCTGCTATCACACCTTAGGACCAACTTGGACTAGATTGGTGACTTATTGGGCCATTCCATAAGAAGTACTCCCTTATTCATCTACGAGAAACAATATATTTCAGGACAAAACAAAAACACATATAATGAGACTTGTTAATATAGACAAATAAAAGCAAAAGAAAAATGAGCACCAGGAGAATAAGCAATTTATTGGCAAAAATAGTTGTCAAATGGTACACCTCCAAAACAAAAGGTTTAATATACAGATCTGTGTCTATTTATTCAATGATCTACTTTCCAAACCAAGTATCTAAGGACCTTACACAAACAACTAGGTGTAATTAACTAGAATGCATACCTGCAAACTAAAGTTTCCAATTACTTTATACAAAGATTAAGGACTAATAATTTTATACAATGACCTGCTTGGTTAAAAATCATAAAAATGATGAGAACTCAATGAAATTAGCTGAGCACAGGTTAGTATTGGGTCTGATTTTTCTGGCAGTAGACTGAAGGGTAAATAGAGTATACCCAAGGAACTCAGTAAGTACATTGTTGATTTTTGGGAAGTATGGAGTTCAGGGAGTGGTGTCCTTCCTGAGACCTATGTGTGCTGACATCATCTATGGAAGCATTTGTTGATGGCTGGCACTCTGAAATTTACTTAGGGGTTAGTTCCTGGTTGGCTGACCTTCAGGGCTATCACTGATTGATTGGCTTATAAAAGTGTCTTAACTGAGGTGAACTGTCACTGATTGAGCCAAGGGTTTAAAACGAATTCTGAGTACAATGATTATAGAGCAATCAAACTTTCCCCAAGAGTGTGGTAACTTTTTAATATTCTCACAGTTGATTCTTACTATTTGTTTTCAATAGAACATAATAGTGCAAATTAGCATCTGATAAAACACAAAATAATGTATTTATTAGTGTTCATAGATCAGAGTTCCGTGAAGTTTTGTCTGAGCAAGGTGACTAGTAAGTATTTCATTATGACAAAGTTTGAGAACCATTAGGTCCAGCCACTAGGTTTAGGCGTTTTCTAAGAGGCAAGAGTATTAGTTAGATAAATTTAATCAGGAAGTAGTTCATTTGGGGCATTAAATTAATTATTTTTAATTATCTAGCAAGAAGGACAATCTTTGTCAGCATGCTGAGAAAAAGAGCAAAGAGGCATTGGAAATAGAAAAGAAGGGATGGTGAGTTCTAGAGAAGCAACCCTTATTTGGTGGTTTTACTAAATGGAATCCTGTCATCTTATAATTGGATGGGACCTCAGAGGTCATAAGACTAACATCCTTCCAAGTTCAGAAATTTCCTCTCCATGTTATACCATCCCTGGCAAATGATGTCTAAATTCTGCTTGGGTGCTTTTAGTAATGAGGCTCTTACTATACATCACAAGAAAGGTGTTATGTTTGGAAATGCTCCGATTTCTTAATGACCTAAGTTCTGTTTCCTTGTGAGTTCTAGTTCAAGCCACAGATAGTAAGTCCATCTGACTGTATTTCATTGGACCAATAGGGCAGCCCTTCAACTATGTGAAGGCAATTGCTATGTGACACTACTGTATATTCTCTTCTCTAGTGATCCATTTGATTCTCCTGTATGTGAGAGGGGTTCTGGATTGTTATCTGCCCAAGTCACTCTAATCAAAGCATTTTTGTCTTAAATTATAGCAACAACAATTACAATAACTGTCATTGACTGAAAAATTACTACAGTTGACCCTTGAACAATATGGATTTGAACTGCATGGATCTATTTATACCATAACTTTTCTTTCTTCTTCTCTTCTTCTTTTTTTTTGAATATATTTTATTGATTTTTTTACAGAAAGGAAGGGAGAGAGATAAAGAGCTAGAAAAGTCGATGAGAAACACCGACCAGCTGCCTCTTGCACACCCTCCACTAGGGATGTGCCCACAACCAATGTACATGCCCTTGACTGGAATCTAACCCGGGACCTTTCAGTCCACAGACCAACGCTCTACCACTGAGCCAAACCCGGTTTCAGCCTCTTTTTTCTTTTTATATCTTCACCCAAGAATATGTTTTCATTTATTTTTAAAGAAAGAAAGAGAGAGGGAAAAAATACACACACACACACACACACACACACACAAAGAGAAAAAATACAGACACACTCTCTCATCACACATACATACACACACACACACACAGAGAGAGAGAGAGAGAGAGAGAGAGAGAGAGAGAGAGAGAGAGAGAGAGAGGAAATATTGATGCGAGAGAAACATTGTTCGGTTGTCTCCTGTTTTTTGCCCCAATCAGGGTTGAAATCTAGGTATGTGCTCTGACTGGGAATCGAACCTGCACCTTTTTTTGGGGGGTATGGAATAATGCTCCAACTAATTTAGCCATCCATTCAGGGCCAAGAACTTCTTCAGTAAATACTTATACATTTTTTTAATCCACGGTTGGGAGTCCATGGATTTGGAGGGCCTACTATATGCATTGATCTACACTATTTTATATAGGGGGTTGAACATGCACAGATTTTGGCACTCACGAGATGAATTGGTTAGCTGGAACCAATCCCCCATGGATAATGAAAGTAGTTAGGTTTTGGGGAAGTCAAAAACTACAGGTAGATGTTCAACTGCAACAGAAGTCAGTGCCCCTATCTGACTTGTTCAAGGGTTCACTGCACTAGTATATGCCAGGCACTCTCTAAGCACTAAACTCATTGAATTTGCAAAATCAGGCCACGAGGAAGACACTATTTTACAGGTGAGAAAATAGTTTAAGTAACCGGAGGTAGGCAGTTTATAAGTAACTTACTTGTTCAGGGCCTTAGAGCTCACAAATAGGGAGTCAGATTGCAAATCCAAGCTCTCAGGCAGCGGGACTTTACTTCTCTTGTTTCGCACCTGCAGCAGATTGCCAAGTAAAACAAAACCGCCTCCTCTTCCCTCTTCCTGGACAGCCTGCTTTTACCAACAAGGTGCTGCTTTGTTCTGGCAGCCTTGTCACTAGCTCTTGTTGGCTCATATTGTACTTGTAGCTGGTGAAGAAACCTATGTCTTTTTTCACAGGATCTGCGGCTAGCATAAGCCTTCACAATTCCGTGAGTGCGCAACTGACTTTTTTGGACCGAAATTTTGCGCTGTATCTCCTTCCTTCTTTAGTTTTAATCAGTTAGGCTCACCGTATTAAGGAAGAAGAGTCTGGCAATGGATGAGTTTGGGGGGAATGTCTGAGGAAGTGGTTTCAGCTGCTGAGAGCTGGACACAGTGGTGGCTAAATGGGAGGAGGAATAATTAACATAAAAGGAGAGGCACTTGGGTAGACAAACTGGGAGAACAAGATTGGACAAGTTTAAGGTGAGGCTGTATCTTAATATAGGGATGGGGTTCCCAATGTGGAAACAGAGAGAACACTGATATTCTTCTCTTCCTTTAAACATGTCTCTTTCCCCTTCTGGCTGCTCTTTTGTTTGGAGGGATAAGGAAACATTTCAGGGAGAGATGACATTTGATCAGGGCCAGGAACCCCGGGTAGAATTTGAGCTGGCAGAAATATGACGGAGGGGTGTGTGGGAGGAGGTGGTGGTGGAGAGGGTCCGAGCAGAGGCTAAGACAGGAGCCATTGGTATGTTTGGCAAAAACGCATCGCTATTGATGACGAGTGACTTGTCTATACCTGGCTAGGGCAGGAGATACATTAAAATTGCAAGGAGCGTGGCATCAAGCCCATGTTCCTCATTGCCTCTTTAGGAGTCATTATTCAACATTTCCTTTGCTGAGCCTTTCAGACAGGCACACTGAATTAGTTATTACCGCAAAGCCAGCGTGGTCCCTGGAGGAAGAGGACTCAGGTCTGTGACAACCAGTCTTTTGTCCTTCTGACCTCAGGGTCTCTTACTGCAATTTGAGTTTCTAGGGAGGAAGGCTGGGTAGAACCAGACATTCAATTGGGGGTTTTTGGGAGCTTGTCTTCCTTCCTTTCCTACCAGCTGGCTGTTTTCCTCCCTCCCCCTCCCCTTTCTCCTCTCCCTCTGTCTCTTGCTAACATATGGTTAGGAAGAAAGAGGTATCAGCCACAGGAGCCTCTGGTGTACAGGTGTGAAATGACAGATGCACCTTCTGTCCCAGAACTGATCCATACCTCCCATTCACGTCTCCTAGCTCAGAAGCTGACCTTCTGATCTTAAAACGCTAAGTCTGGTGGGACTTATGGAAGTGTCTCTCTTCCCACTGCCAAGGTGAAATAAAACCAAATTTTCAACCGACTTAGAAGCATGGGATGCGAATACCAGAGCTCCCAGCAGGGCAGGAAGGGTAGCTTGACCTGCAGGGCTCATGCAGGGAGACCCCCTCACATGCATGCCCGCCCCCCTCTGCTGCCCGCCCACCCAGAGAACCATGCCCCCCAGGAATCAGACACAGATATAGTACAAAATGTTTTCATTTTCAAAATGCAAAATAACGGTCACTGTAAAAATAACAACAATAACAATAACAATAATAATATAAAAAGCATTTCTCCCCCTTCTGCCCCAGTGCAACATGACAGGTGCACTCAGCTCCAAGACACGTGGCTTTGGACATGCCATCCCTCCGCAGTGCTGCACAGCAGCAAAACCCATCCCAGACTCCTTTTGGTGAGTCTCTGAGCTCGGTCAGTCCCAGCAGGCAGCGGCTTCTCCCGAGTCCACACAGCTCAGGCCTCCTGCGGTGCCCGGCTAGAATCAGCCTCTGTTTCCGTCTCCGTCTCCTCCGTCTCTCTCTTTCCTGCTTGCTCTCTTTCCTTCTCCTCTCGCCCATCCTGGCTCCCACAGTTTGTTTCTAGGAGGCGTGCTGCCGGTGGGCGAGGGCCCGGCTGCCCAGGGCGGCGTCGTGCTGCTTGCCTTTCTCCTTCTCCTGCAGGGCCTGCGTGTGCAGGGCCTGGCGCTCCCGGGCGGCGCGCAGCTCGGCCACGGCGGCCTCCTCGTCCCGCAGGCGGCTGGCGGCCGTGAAGGGGCTGCACACAGTCTCCACCAGCACCAGCACCACGCCGAACAGGGCCAGCACGCCGCCCAGCACGTACACCTTCACCAGCCGGCGGCTCGGCTTCTGGCCGATCATCCCCTTCACCAGAGGGATCAGCTCCTGCACCGTTTCCATCTCGGCTCGGGGCTCTCGGGGACCCTCCGGAGGGACCTGGGAGGAGCGGGCAGAAAGGGGACCGTTAGTCACCGAGGGATGGCTCGCGCCGGGGGCCGCAGCATCGCCCCCAGCCCCGCAGGGAGGACCCCGCGCCCCACCGCGCCCAGCCCCGCCGCTCACCTGGATGCACAGCGAGCTCCTAGGAGGCAGCGCGAGCTGGGCAGGGGGCGCGTCCGTCAGTCCGTCCGGCGCCGCGTTCTCCTCCTCGGTGGCCGCTGCGGCTCTTTGGGCTGGAGACTCCACCGCTGACACCCCGCCGGGCCCCGCGGCCGCTTAAATCTCCCTCCTGGACCCGCCTCCAGGGCTCCCTGGGTGCGGGCCAGCGCCTGCCAGCGAGGCGGAGGAGGGGGGTAGCGGGAAGGGGGACCCGGGGGCGGGGCGGAGCGGGGCAGGGCGGGGAGGGGGAGGGGCGGCCACGAGCTGTGCACGCCGGGGCGGAGTGAACTGGGGGCGGGAGGGGGAGGCCGCGCCGGGGTGCAGGGGAGGGCAGGCCTGCACGTGGGAGGTCCGGCCCAGGTGCGTGCGTGCAGGGCTGAGAACCGGAGCCCGGAGGTAACTGCGTGCATTTGCCACACGGACTCTCTCCTGGCGGGGTGGCTGGGTGCGCAGCGTCCCTGGTCCAGGGCAACCTGAGAAGGACCCCTAATGAGAAGGACCCCTAACATCTGTGGTTCTACCTGAGAGGAAAAAAACACCCGTTTTTATTCAGAAGGGTTGCCATCTTCCCACAGTTGGGGGGGGGGGGGGGTCGTAGGGGAGAAGGCAAGGGGGAGGGATACAGAACTGAGCAGGTGTCCAGGCTCTGCCTAAGGCCTTTGGGCAGATACTGTTTCTTTCTGGCCTGACTGGTTTTATTCACTGGTGCTTGCATTGTGAGGCTCATCTGATAGACAACTTATTCATTGAGGGTGCCCTGTTATGCACAGGCGTGTGTGTGTGTGTGTGTGTGTGTGTGTGTGTGTGTGTGTAACACATACACAAACATCTTCTGTGCCTGAAGGTGTTTGTGTTTGTATTTCTGTGTATCAGGGAACTGCCATTAAATCCAAATCGCCCCCTTTCCCAAGTGAGAAGCGAAGGTGGAGACAGGGGTGGAGACGAAGATGGAAGAGGGGTTGTCTGTAAAAGCTAGTCTGCAGGTCTGGAATATAAGCATGTCGTGCTGTCCTCAAAAGTTGTTTGCCACTGCCCTGGGTCTGGGGGTGCAACTCCCGAGCCAGCTCAGCTCACCATAGTTTAGGCCCCAGGGGGAGAAGAGTGAGAGTGGCCTTTGGGAAGAAGGTGAAGAATGGAGCATACTCTTAGAAGTGTGAGGATAGTTGGACTGATTGTGACTAGGATTAAACATCATCCCGTGGGGGGGGGGGTGAGGGAATAGGGGTATGTATGGGGGTTCTGATTTAGCTTGGTTCTCCATATGCCAGAGCCAGCAAGTCAGGAAAAGGAGAAACTGGTAGGCCAAAGGGCTTCAAATGAGGAAAGGGAGAGGGCAGGGGGAGGAAGGTGGAAATTGGAGTGGCCAGAAAATTGCAAAGGTCAGTGATGCAATCTTGCAACAGCCTGTCACAATCATTCAAGCTGAGCCCCGTGGGGAGGGATAGGAGGAAGAGCTGTTTCAGAAATATGAGTCTCTGAAAATTTTAACAGTAATCTTTTTGGGGGGGTCAGGGGAAGGTGGTCTAAGGCAATTTCTCAGACAATTTAGTTAAAAAATAGCATCAATAATGATTTTTTGCCTGGGCTATTCATAGTTCAGGAAATAGGATTGGTTTGTGCAGATGGGTCAAGGTTACCTAAATAGCTAATTTAACATTACACATTTTTGTCTGTACACAGTGGTCAAGGTGACAACGGTCCTAATTGGGATTATTTCTGGAAGATTGTGTCCCCTGCTTATTATTATCCTTTTAACCTTGTCAGGTAGGAAAATTCTATAACAAGGAGAGATTAGTATCATTCTTGGCATTTTCTTTGAATCTCTAATAACTGGCAGAAATGACCTGTAGGCTTTTCCAAGATCTGCGAGTGTCGCAAACACGGTGGCTTTTGGGAGAGCATGTCACGTGCATCTTCATATCAGGGCCTTTACCTGGTTTCTGCCCTGAAGGTGAGTCAGCCCAGCGATGAACCCAAAACTCTGCAATTGACATACCAGTATTTCCGGTGTTTCTGTAACTCGAAGGACGCAAACCACATGTCCCTCAAGGTCAGCAGACCGTAATGTATCTGGGGTTCCCCTTTCTTGTGATTTTTGGTGGGAGGACACATCATCAGCTGAGATGAGTTCTTTCCCTCTTTGACAATCTGACTTCAACCCCCACACCTCACCAGTTTGCTGGTCAGGGCTGGGCAGAGGGCAGCAGATGGTTTTGGGGTTGCCCTTGGAGCTGCTGTTCCTGGTGTAGGTGTTAGCTGGGGCTGAGAGAGAGATGAAGGGAATAGAAGGCTGAGGAATCCACGACCACACCCCCCCCCCCCCCAGGTATGAATTGCTGACACAGCTCCTCTGTCTGGGTGGGGAAAGAGAACCCAGCTTGTAGGGTGAGGGATTAGGTAGAGCTTGGGAAACCAAGCTCATGCGTTAAAGCCCTGATGTCACTTTAGAGATGTAAAGTCTTGCGTTGCAACACACAGGTCAGTCACAGGTTATTGCTGTGAAGTTCTGAGCAGCCTTGGTGACCAACTGTCCCTCTTTGCCCAGGACTGAGGGGTTTCCCCAAGATTCACGACTTACAATGCTGAAACTGAGGCTGTTCCGGGCAATCAGGAACAGCTAGTCTAGCCCAATATTTAATTCTTGACATTTTAGGAAGACAAAGAAGGCTAGTTTAAAATTTATTTTGCTTTCCAAATCTCTTTCTTCCAAACATTAAGGTCCCCAGAGCCACCTGCAGAGAAAACAATAAAAAGCGGAAAGTAGGGAAGAGGAGAGAGCTGTCCCTATCACTCTGCCTTGGAGACTGAAGGAGCAGGGGACAGAGGTCTTTTGGGTGGTTGGTTATGTGTGAACCTCAGTTATTAGTAGCATTATTTTGTTAACCAGAGGCTTGCTGCTTACTGACGTCACTACCTAACCCAGGGTTCCCTGCGGCTGGAGGGAGGGTAACATTATAGGAGACATGATAAAACTAGTTGTGGATCTTACACTCAATTTTTTTTCAATCCTTGAGTTACTTTTATTTCATGTAAATATCTTTTGGAGAGAAGATTTCTTTTTAAAAAAAAATATATATATTATTGATTTTTTACAGAGAGGAAGAGAGAGGATAGAGAGTTAGAAACATCGATGAGAGAGAAACATTATCAGCTGCCTCCTGCACACCTCCTACTGGGGATGTGCCCGCAACCAAGGTACATGCCCTTGACCGGAATCAAATCTGGGACCTTTCAATTTGCAGGCCGACGCTCTATCCACTGAGCCAAACTGGTTTCGGCTGGAGAGAAGGTTTCTTATCACTCTATGGAACCTACCTTTCTAATTTCTATCTTCCTCTGGTCTGGAAGATTAGCATTCTAGAGTCTAGATCTTTCTGGGTGCTTATCCTTCTTTTGTCACAGCTTGACACACTCCCCACATTGTCTGTACTCTTACAAACTAAGTCACCTTCTCAGCCTCCTTATTTCTAGCAGCAGCATATCCATTTTACCTGTTCTCTGGGCTTGAAATATGGTGGCATTTTTTTGGAGACCTTCCTGACCAGTTCATCCCATCACCCAAGGCCTTGCTTTATTCTTCTCAGTAGCCCTTAGTACTGACTTTATATAGATACTAGAGGCATGGTGCATGAAAATTCATGTCTTGGGGGAAGGGGGGAGAGTCCCTCAGCCCAGCCTGCCCCCTCTCACAGGCCGTGAGCTCTCAGGGTATGTTGTACTGACAGCTTTTGGGGAGCAGGCCTAAGTTGCAGTCTGGCCTCCCTCTTGGGAGGCGACTGGCGGATCAGGGGAAGGCGCTGCCCCCGTCACCCCACTGATGCTGCCACAGCTGCCTGCCCTCCTTGGCCCTCGCAGCCACTGCAGCTTTGTTCAGAAGGACACCTGGAAGACGTCTGGTCTACCTGGTCTAATTAGCATATTACCCTTTTATTAGTATAGATCAGTGGTCAGCAAACTCATTCGTCAACAGAGCCAAACATCAACAGTACAATGATTAAAATTTCCTTTGACAGCCAACTTTTTAAAACGTAAACTATATAGATAGGTACATTGTTATTAACTTAATTAGGGTACTCCTAAGCTGGCCTTTGCTAAAAACTCAAGGGGCCAAAGAGCCGCAAGTGGCTTGAGAGCTGCATTTTGCCGGCCACTGGTATAGATAGATGATTATTGGTTTGCTTTTTGAGTTGTCTTCCACATTCTTTGGAAAATGAGCTTCATGAGGACCAGGACTTTGTTTATTTCTTCCCTGGGTCTCCAGGGCCCAGTATATTTCTTGGTACATAGTAGATGCTTCATAGGTGACTATGGGATTAATGAATGTCATTCCCACTGGCCTGTGAAGCCTGGTGTGTGGGGAACCATGTTTTTTAAGTTTGCATGCAGTAAGGTTTTTAGCGCATGCTCAAAGAAGCATTCAGCATTTTTTTTTTTTTTTTTTTTTTGGTGGTGGTGGTGGTGATGTGTGTATGTGGGGGGAGTTTGCTGTTAGTTCCTCACAAATCCATCTCAAACAGTACAACTGAATAAATCTTCCTAAATTACATTTTATTCTTCATCGCCTGTGTGAATCCTGGGGTGATTTCTCACTCACAGGATGAATTTCTGGATTCTGCATGTTGAATTTGCTTGACCAACATTCTTGGAATCCAGAGCTTCTGTAATCTGATCTTCTCTACTCATCTTTCTCCCCTACTCAGCTCCAACAAGAACCCTGAGCTCCACAGGTGGGTTTCTCACAGCCCAAGAAGTCACTCCTTTGTATTGTTGCTGCCTCCCCTTGGCTTGTACGCTTCTTCCTC